CAAAGCAACACTATGCGTTTGGATTTTTATTTGAGCGGGAACTCTTAGAAACTTTGGTCAAATCAATAATACAATAGGAGGTGGGCAAGCCCATCCACCCCGTCTGTTTCTAAGATTGCAGTTCTTCATTTATTCGCTGGAGGCTGAGAAATTCTTTCCATCCCATAAACCGCTAAAGTTTTAACATCTTGTTGTCTGGAGTGTTTGAACAATCAAGACTTTTTCTCCCAACCTACGAATTGTGGGTAGGCTCCGCCCATTAATGCCTGTTCTCGCCAAAATATATGAAGCCAACACTATTCCGCTTTCTCTTACCCAAAACTTCAACTTTCTTCCCGAAGTTATTTGACATGCTATCACAAGGTGAACATAAAGATCAGTTCGCTACGCGTGTACTTACTGTGGCGTTACGGCAGGTGTACTGTATGGGGATCAAAACCACTAGTTTGCCCGAAACAAACCTTTTTGCGGTTATTTTTTTTTTGAAATTTTGATCACAAACGTCGTATCCAATTTGTGAGAAGCCCTAGCGTATCTATATCGTAAGGCATTGCCATGCTTAGGGAGTAGGACATTTGCGATCAGCATTACTAAATAACCCCATTAGATCACTTTAGCTAAATTGATCCCGACCGTCTACCATATATCCACCGTATCTTCACAGGCGCCACTTCCCATTTTCCTACTAGACAAATTTAGTGAAATGCGAAATTCTGAGTTCTTGGGTCAGAGAAGTGTAATAGCGCCAAAATATCTAGAAGCTCTTCTACGATTTTTATCAGTAAGTATCTAGGAAAACTTATCACCACGCGAACGCAGCAGCATTCTTCGACTGCGCAAAAATCGCCAGTCTGAGCCGAGCCTGCGTCACATCAAATACACAAAACTCCAGGAGTTATTTCCACATTCTGTAAGTTCAGCATAGCAATGTGAAAGATACTCATCGATTGATCAGGAGACTAAGCCCATAAAAAATAGTTATAAGACTAATTACTACGAAGAGCATCCCGTGCGGACAGCTTGTCTAATTTTTCGCTTATTTTCACCAAATTTGCGACCTTGTAATGAAAAAAAGCGCAAATAGGACGAGTTGTAATCAGTCACGGCTTCTTTTGCCGTAGTTAGTCCTAAATCGAATAGATTTTTAAAAATTCTCCATCCATGCGAGACGGAGAAGCAGAGTTGCGCCTGTGTCCTAACCAGTGAATTATTTTGAAGGATGATTAGCGCTGAGATTGCGCCTTTCTACTAACACAATATTTATCACCGATATTTGATTTATCTATAATTAAATTTCTTTTCCAAAAAAAAATGCACTGATATCCAACTGTTTATTTCATATGTTTCTTTTAATTTTGGCTTATATTCTTAATCACCCGCAGTCTTTGTCTAATTCTTCAATTTTTAGCCTTCTAAAACAAGTGAGGAGGAAGTAGGCAAGTATGTGTCCCTATTAGTCAAGATACGTTTGAAAGAAGGACAAAATCTCGCGATTCGAGATGCATCAGGTGAATAATCCTAAAAATCTGTTGTGATCCTACCGTAATATCGAGCATTCTAGGTAGCAGTGATCCATATGTGAAGTTTAAGTATAAGGATCGCATTGTATATAAAAGCAGTACAATATTCAAGAACCTTAATCCAATATGGGATGAGGAATTCCAGATGCTTGCCGAAGATATGACAGCACCTATCAGTATCGAGGTACGAATTAGTTTTGACAACCTTTGAAACTCATTTTATTTTGTTGATTTTTCTTTTTCTCAACTTTTCTTGTGCAAGTATTGCTTATGCATGGTATCAATTGAAAATGAACACATTTTTGCTTTTTTTGTAGCTTTTCACGCTTTTTATCCGAATGAGAACTGGTCCCAGAAAATCTAATTTACATTAGGCAAGTTCTGCAGAACCTAAGAATAAAGGGGACAAGCTTTTATAGCTATTTATTCATGCTGTAAGGCGATAGACTCGCCTCTTTTAACTTCTGTCCTGCTCATTCTCGTCTGCGCCTCTAATTTTTTGGGCTTAGACTAATTTCTACAAAGTTTGATCTATTTGCTTCTGTCGCTTTGAAGGACGCTAAGGCCTATTGTAGCATGGGGACCAGTTTTCGCTCACAGTAAACTGTGGAGAGCTCCAACATGGTTGGATTCGTCATCTTAAGCTTAGCAGTTTGCGAACTGGTCCCCACCCTCCAAATGGTTTAACGTATCTCTTAATCAAATAATTAAATCAATCAGGTCAGAACAAAAAACATGAATAGAAGCACTTTGCAGACTTTTATAAAAAAGGGAAAAGTGTTCTGTGATTGCCGCTGGAAAATATATAACATTTGGCAAAGCAAACCATCCTCATCTACTAAAAACTCGTCCTTCAATTCCATTAAACAATTTTGCTGAAAACAGAGATTTTCCTGCATAGGAAAGTATACTTTTCTAAAGAGATGCTTCTTTTGGAGGGAAACCTCAGCTTTTTACTTATACTTAACCATACTAATGAATACGAAAAATTACGGTAGGAAAGTGCAACTGTAGCGTTTTTTACTAGTAGTGAATCAGTGACACTTGCAGGTGTTCGACTATGATCGCTTTTGTACAGATGACTTTATGGGATCTGCAACCATCGATATCAGTCAAGTTAAATGGTTTCAGTAAGTTTTTATCGATTTTTTCGATTACATACATATCCAAGCTGACATAGCAAAAACAGCATTTTAGTCCACTCGAGCAGGTAGTCGAGTTAAAGGACGATGCTTCACCACAAGAAGAACTAGGTACTGTTGCAATCACAATTACTGTGGTTCCCTTAACATTGGATGAGAAGGACGAGGTTAAATTCGGGTTTTTTTTT